TGCTTTGTCGCTCAACTTTTATCATATTTGTTGTATCAGTTACCAGTTCTACCCTGCCAATCGAGATTGTTTTAATTACATGACGTAAAGCGGAAGTACCAGGCAGTCAAACATCAAGGATTGATACAAAACTATTTGAAGTGACATCAACAAAAATAAGAAAGCTTTTAAAAATTTCAACAGAATGCTGGTAAAACAAACGAATAAGTTCTAAAGTATAAAAAAAAAAATATTTGCTAAACAGTTCAACAAAACTGTGGCAACAAAAACGAGAAGAAAAAAGAGGACATTCAAAAACAACCCATGATTTTAACGTTCTGTTTGAGGGAACTGTTTGAAAAACATAAAAATTTACATACCTACGAACTGTGGTCCATTGTTTAGATAACCATTTCCGTTGTTGTTAAACGGCGGTATAGTCCATAAATAAGTGCTTCTTGACTAACAAAAATAAATATATACGTATAATGAATATGCATAAGTAGATGGAATTGTTTTTTTATTGAAAATCCCAACCAGAAGAAACTGAGAACAAGAGTTGCGCGGAATGTTCTTTAGAAAAAAAATTCGGAAGGCAGTGAAACAATTTTTGCAGACAGAAACTGGCCGTTGTATGGTTAGCAACGGGAAGGCGAGGGGGACAGAGGGGGAAAGTATTTTTAAACTGAAAGCATTTTGGTAATTCAATATGGTTCAAAATCTCAAACATCAACAAATCAGCTTTCTCTCTCTGAAAATTTCTATTTGCATACGACACCGTCCAAGAAGTTCCACACTCCACTCGGATCCACTTGTGTTCTACTTTCTCCCTTTTTGTTTTCTGATTTAACTTCCAACTTGTCATTGTTTCAATAAAAAAAAAAAATCTGTTTTCAACAGGTTCCTTCCCCGTGATCAAAGACAGCCAAAAATTACTGAGCAAAAGCCCGGTAGAAAAAAGCAACCAAAAGTACATACAAAGAATGAAACTGCAACATTCCAAAACGCATGTGATAGTCAGAAAGTGCTGCGGAGTTGAGCTACAAACGTATCGCCGTGCCGTTTAGCGACAAGGCAAAGTCTGGGCCATTTAATGCCCTGGAAAAAAGGTAAGATGATTCAGAATAAACTGAAAAAAAAATTTTTGTTTTTTTTTTTTTTTTTTCCAAGCAATATTTGCAGTGCGGTTATCCTCAGAAATATTTTGGCATCTTATGTTCCTTGAGTATTAAGAATACATAAATGTAAATTGTTGTCACAGATGTCTTGTAATCCGAATCTAATTAACCATTTAGCTGTCCTATATCAGCCAGTTTCTTTTTCAACCATATTTTCACCACCATCATTCTGTTCCTCTCCCCTCTAAAACACAGACACGCACAAACATCCACTTACTTTTCCTCTTCTTTTCTTTGTCTCCTCTTCTTTTCCATTCCATCAGTCATCCTGTTTCGTTATCCTACTATTAGATATAACTGTTGCTTTAAGAAAAGTAAAGAAAACCAAAATATTTATCATGAAAATAGTAACTAATGGAATAAAAAAGGCAGAGCCATCTTTCTATATTTGCGGCTTAGTAAGAAATGTTATTTCACTTTTTTTTTGTTTTCAAACGAATAAAAACCCTAAAATACTAAATTCTTTACGATGCAACAAAATTAAAACAAGTGTAAACAAAAAACTGGGGGGAACCTTTTATATTGATAAATTTGTCAATCTTTGGAGATCGAACAACTTTGAGACCCATCGATATCGCTAAAACTGAAAAAAAAAAA